AATATTATCTTTATTTTAATATAAAAATAAAAAATATTTATTAGTAAAATTGAAAACTTTTATATAAAGAGAAAAATTCACATTTTTCATATTTTTACTATGTTTTATTAATAAATTTGTTTTAGCATTCCATTCTTTTTGATTGCTATTGTAATACTAAAATATTATTTATTATTAATAAAGTTATAATTTATTATATTATTTTGTATTATTTAATAATTATATATGTAATATATAATTTTAAAAAAAAATCTCATATAATTATAATTGCAAATACAAAAAATAAAATAATATATTATAAATTATTTATATAATTACTTTTAACAAATCAATTAATATATATATCTTATATAAAAAAATAATTTAATCACTTTGTGATTGCAATAAAATATATATTATTATTATAAATTATATAATAATAAGATAAATTAACTTATATATATTTTTATAATTATTATTTGAATTAAATATAAATAATTTATATAATAATTGAGATAATAAAATTTTTTATCACAATATTTATTATAATTTTATAATTTTATTGGTTCTCTATAATTTCTTTTATAATTTCTTTTTATAATCTTTATTATATATAAAACAAAATACTAAATTACTAAAATCAAAATTATTATTATATTTATTATTATATTTCAAAAATAAATAAGAAAATTGCTTCAATGTCATATTAATAATATGTTTTCATTTTTTTTAGAATTATTAAACAAAATAAAAATTGAAAATTAGAATTTGGTTAACTTTTTAATAATATATTCTTTTTGAAAAATAAAGTTTTTTTTTTCAAAAAAATTAAAGTTTTATCATAATCTCTTTTAATTTCTTATATTTTTTATTTAATATTATTTGAAATAATTATTAATTAATATTTTTTTTAAATAAAGAGTTCCAAATTTTCAAAATGTATTTTGATAATCTTTTTTTAATAAAACATCCAGTTCTTTAGAATTTTCATATATAAAATAATAAATAAGCTTTGTTATTTTGATTGTTGATTCACCATTTACTCTTCATATACCAATGTTTTTGTTTACATATAGAACAGATTTGTGAACCAAAAATCCAATCTAATGCTTACTCTCTGCATTTATACTAAAATATAATTCTAAGCATGGAAATTTATAAGACAAAGATCCCGGACTTCACTCATTAAAATGATTTATTAGTGAATTAATAACTTTTCTTTAGAGAGCTTTCTCTTAATGTTAAACGACATGTTATCATTTATATAAATATAAATTAATTTAAATTTCCGCATTAGAAATCATAAAAAATATTAAGATTGTATAGATCTGATCTTTATTGCATAGTGATAAGCTGTAAGAAAACGTAAACAAATAAAATTCATAATCCCATAATAATCAACATCACTACTATACTCTTTATATAAATCAGGATACAGCTCCAAGATTTTATTGCGAAAATAAACATGATCATTCTGCTGGCACGTAAGTGCCCTTGCTTTGCAAGTGAGGTTTGATAGATGTAGCTACCTTAGCTTCCCGTAAGGTCTTGGTTTTCAAGTCAGAAGATGTACTTACCTCAGGCAAAATTCTCCCTCAGTCGACGAAACTATAAAAGTTGGAAAAATTCTTAGTTTAATGAAAGAACAAAAAAAAAGGAGAAAGAAAATGAACAATACCAATAGCGTCTGGCGACACGAAGAAGTTGTAGCCGCCACTCTACAGCTCGTCCGAACGCTACGACATCAATTCAATGACGCGTTCAACCTCACCATCGATCAACTGGTTTTAGCCGAGAATGACCAAATACAACGCATCAATTTCAATACAATAAGTCCTCTAAACACAAATTTCGGTTACATGTTTCTGGCGATGGGCGTCGTCGAAACTTCAGTCATGTGATTTTCTATACTGGACTAATATTATCGATTTGATCGTTGATCAATTCTGAAATAGAATTTGAATTTTATCTATCGCTATACCTATTTTTTTGAATAATTTATAAGTCTTTATAGCCCTTTGAGTCTTTTTGCATAAAGTTTTTCATCTTCAAATAAATTATCCAGTTCTGAAACTTTCTGTTCCTTCGTATTTTCCAATAATATTTCAGATTTTGCAATTTTGGTACTCTTATTATATCAGTCAGACAAGTTTGGTTCTTTTATCAAGTTAGCATGTTTATAAGAATTAGGTGATATTCATATTTTTTTGAAAACCTATATAATAATAACTACTAATCTTTTTTTATTTCTGTCTTAAATTCTTTAGCAAATACTATAGTCTCAATATTAGCTTTAGCTAAATAAGATGTGGTTATTTTTTCTTGATAGATTTATCTGACTGTTGTGAATTAGGATCTTTGCTGATTCTTTTTGAGTCATAGATTCAGAATGATCTTGCTTGTTCAGAAGACATCCCCTTTATGTGATAATTTACTATAACATACTTTTGTGCTGGAGAAATATTGTAATCGGGTGAATGCCATAAGACTTTCCCAGCTATATTTGCATGTTGGAAATTGGACGAAACGTTGACGAAATATATGTAAAGTTCGTATATTATGAAGTTAGTCTTTCAGCAGCAATAGCCAGCTTGTCTATAGCGACTACTTCGATGGCTAGAAGACGAAGAAGTGATCAAAGGTAAATATTATTTTATATAAATTATTTCTATATTTGTATATAAAACAATATAGCACCAAAATTGGATATTTTAATCGTGCAGCATTATTCACCAAAGCCACACATTAATTGTATCCGCAGCATTTTAGCTTGGATATCAAATGTATGGAGAGTTAATGAAGAGGAGTTGATTATCTATGAAGCGTATCGATATAAAATAATCACAGCAAATCATGACCTTTGCAAGCTGTTATTAACTTCAATGCAAAAAAATTACGGTTACGAGTCAGAGTTCAACTTTTCCTTTGAATACATTTCTGTAGGCATATTTTGTTTTATTTAGATGTTAGACAATGTTACAGTTGATGGTAAATTGAATTATACACTACACCACATAGCGCTTTAAATTTTTCGAAAGTGTTAAATACCATTTAGAGAATCTGAAAACGATAAATGGCTATTTGCGTTAACATGTTGTCAACATATGAGTCAATTCGAAGTAAATAGTGTTTCTCTCTAGTCAGTTTATGAGCGTCGTAAATTCTTTTATTTTTTATCAAAATATGGTGCATAACATCTAAAGTCATCAAACGTTTGTATTTTATATATTAATTCTTAGTAAAGAAGTTTATTCATTTTATAAAATACAAACGTTTGATGACACTACTCCGAAAAATTAATTATATGCGCTAAAGAATCAATCGAAATAAAAAATTATATTGAGCTACATACGTTATATCGATGTGTTAAATCATTGATAACTCATAATTAGCTAATCTTTATTAATCAATGTTCAGATGTCAATCACAAAAATAATAAATCATAATTGCACAAATATGATATAATACTAATGACCAAGAAGTTTCGTATGATTTGTATTTATAATCATTTCTCTGTCTTGTCCAAATAACTTTGCCAAAACGCATACACAAAAAGAAAATGACAAATTCATCAGTGGTAATCCGCCTAAGCTGCGTTCTACTATTCATGGGAATATTCGTGACCGCCGTGATACTTTCCATAAAATTATTACGTCAGGGTAACTGGTTCTCGTACAGTTTAGTGGCATTTGGAGATTCGCTCACGGATATTGGAAATACTTGGGATTTGACGAACGGTAGTATCCCGTCTACTGCTTTTTACTATAGGGGAAGGTATTTATTTGAAATTGATTTTTCTGCTTTGATTCTGCATGAATGTGATTCGTTTCTTTCTCATTGTATAATAATATGAAGATGGTCAAATGGTCCGACATGGATCGAAGTAATGTCAAGCAAGTTAGGTACTATTCTAGAGAATTATGCATATGGAGGCGCAACTTCAGATAATGATATCATTCCTTCGAATTTAACGATTCCCGATGATCGAGGAAGAAAGAAACATGTTCCTTCTCTAAAAGATCAAGGTATTATATATATGATATTAATAATATATTCTTTGATTGGAATTGATGGTTTTTTTTAATTTAGTTAAAGAATTTTTACCGAATGTCAGCACGACTTTACATAGATTTCAAACAACCTTTATGATTTGGATCGGTGGAAATGACTATCAGGTTTTTTTTTTTATCTTTCTTATTCATTTATCCGTATTACGTATAAATTAATATATTTTTGTATTATCATGAATAGTACTTAATAAAAAACTACAACACCTCAACGATAACACCTCAAATATTAATAAACTCTATCCAGCAATCAGTAAATCTACTAGAAGAAGCAGGCGCACACAAAATCCTAATCTTAAACATTCCACCACTCGATCGCACTCCACGCTACATTAATAGCACCGGTAGCGACTTAGAATACATAAAATTATCGATCAGAGATCACAATCAACGTCTCACAGAAATGACGCGAAATTTTACGCGTCACAGTTCAACACTAGTGGTTAAAGTTTTCGATGTGCACAATTTAACAATGGAGATTATCGAGGACCCAAGATCTTTTGGATTCACTAATGTCGATGATCCGTGTGTGGTCATCGATGGGGGTGGGAAGAGGGAGGTGAGCAGATGTGTGAATGCGGATGAGTATTTGTTTTGGGATGATTTTCATCCAACTGCTAAAGCTCATCGATTATTGGCTAATCAGTTGGTAAAGTTTTTAAGATCGGTTGATGGTTATTGTTTATATGCTAGAAATTGTAAAGTATAAAAAGAATATTATTTTTATAGTAAACTATCGCTATGGTTTATTATAAATAAATGATGTATATGTATATGTATATATATTTATCGAAAATGGATCGATGCTATTAACCGCAGTCGAATTACTACGCAAAATAAACTGAAAAACAATAGCGATAGCAATAGCAGCTGAATTAAGTTGTGGCTCAGACAAAGATTTCCTGGGAAAAATGTACTTATCTAATAAAGGTAACTAAACATCATTATTTATAGAAAATGGTGGATCAATTTATATGTGCTTATAATATCGATATACTCTATAAAAGGAAGCGAGTTTTTGATTGTTCTGTTTTTGTAAAATCTTAATTTTTGATATATCTAAAAATGAGATTTTTGGCCGTGTTGCTTTTATTATTTTTGACAATAATAAACACAGTAGCTGCAGTGCCAGTAGATAACAGCTACTTTGAAACTGCCGATTATACAGAATTCGATTTGGCATCTGCAAATTTCACCTGCAACCAAAACAACATTTGCGGCGAAATAACATTCAGTGGCATCTACGTTGATTATTCGAATGACGACTTCGACAACTTCGAAGGAACAACAACAAAAGTCACCGTCGTAATCGTAAGTGGCTTAAACGACCCCAAAAAAGAATACCCATACAAAATTCACGAGTATCCCGTTCCGTCGAATGGTAAATGTGATTCTGTAGGAAATGTGTTAGGTAGCCCTCTTAAAACCAACAATACAGACACAAACACGGCGACGAAATGTAGCCCAGACACGCCAAAGAATTGCGCAGAAGGTGATCTGAGTGGAAAGTGGGGTGGATTACATGGAATCAATAGTAATGAGAAGAGTACTTTTTTTTATTACGATCCGTATTTGGATTGGGATGGAATTAAATCTATTTTGGGGAAATCTCTTGTTATTTATAATTCTGACAATAGTAAGTTTTTCGTGTTTTAATTAAGAATTTATTTTTTTTCGAATTGTGATTGATTGATTAATTTATATTTGTTTACGAAGGTGCTCGATTAGCTTGTGCGAATATCACCGAGTCCTATGTATCTGAGTACGATGATTTTTCTTATGATGAGTATTTTGAAATCTCTGATTATGTCTAGATGAAATGAAATAGCTTTGAACGAATTATTCGATTAGTATTTTAGATTATTGAGATATGTTATATCGAATGTTTTTTTCGTTTTCTATCCATTCTTAAAAAATAAACTAAATCATTTCGACCAAAATTAAATCAAGTTCTTTTGAAGAACCATAAATGTTGCATCGAGCCAGTCTTATATCGATATTATACTATCTTTATTATTAAATTCATTGAGTTTTGTTTTATGCCAGTGTTTGTTTTTGCAAATTTTATTGCGAAATTTTTATTCATGTGTGAGTAAAGCAAGCATTAAATAAATAACGAAATAAAGATAACGATAATGGTTAGATAGCAAAGGAATGAATAAAATTCTTGGATTTGGGGAAACAAGTTCGTAGTTCGTAATGGAACATTCGATGAAGTGTCGATTTTAAAGAGTATCAAAAGAGATATTTTTAATTGATTTAGGCTGTTAATTATCATGCTAACAAAAGGTAAATACTTTCAAAGAAGGATACTTTCGCTAGAGAAATTTTTGACCGCGCCATATGATGGTAACGGTGACATTTAAATTTACCGGGACACCAGAAAAAGTAATTTGCACGAAAAAAGAAAAGCATCATATTTATTATACAGAAGGAGTCCAAAGTTTCCATTTCGCATTATAGTACCCTTTATTCTATATATAAGTTCAAACTTATTGTAAATTTTTTCATACATTTCTTCGATTGCTTTTTGATGTATTTATTTGAATTCAAAAATTTATTATTAATTAATATAAATATTAATTCATGTTCTGAACAATTTGTATTTATATATTTAATATTTTTTATTTTAAATAAACTTTTTAATTCGTTTTTGCACAATTAATATATTCATTTCTTTAGAAATCAATTAATTATATAATATTTATGAAAGTAAATCAATATTCTTTTGAAAATTTTAATTTCATTATTTTATGATTATCTTAAGTTTAATAATTTCATATTTTTGAATTTCAATATGTAATTATATTTTAGTAAGTATTATAATATATTATTTATAATTATTTATATAAATTTACACATACTGTGAACAATAATTAAAGTAAAAATTACTTTAATTAATTGTGAAAACTAGTAAGATTAGAACTAAATAGAAATCAAAGATTTCTCTTTGATTCATGTCTTCATAAATAACAAATAGTATATATAATCTATATTAATATAAGTAAAGATTTTGATATTAAAAAATATAATTTATTATTATAGTCAAACCTCTCTATAGTCATGTCTATTTATAGTTATACCTCTCTATAGTCATCTTATTTTGCTTTCCCATTTATATATAAAAATCTCTCTATAGTCACATCCTCTTTATAATCACTAAATTTTGCTTTTCCAATAGTGATGACTATAGAGGGATTTGACTGAATTATCTACTAATTCAATATATTAATTATATTTTTAATAGTTTTTCAAATATATAATTATATATTAAAAGTTTTGTATTATTAAATAGTTTTTTATAATTTTTTTCAAAAGATGAAATTGCTTGAAATTATTTTATTAATAATTTTATAATTAAAATATTTTCCATGCTGTAATACATGTAGTATAGCCAAAATTTCAAGAAATAACATGTTTTAAAAAAATTTTTCTTAATTTTATTATTAATTAATACCAAGTTTAAATAATATTAGAACATTTAACAGATTTTTTTATATAAAGAACATTTAGCTTTATAATTTTTAAATTTTTTATATATTTTTCAAATTATATTACATATAGTACAAAAACCTAAATTTAATCCATTAATTAAAGGAAAAATAATAAAAAGTAGAAAATATAACAATTGGATTATGAATTCATAAACAAAGTAGATATATTTAATCTGTTTAATTGAATATTTGAATGCAAAATTTTAATTTCCTGATAAATGTGATATATCAAAAAATCATTGCATTTGGAAATTATAATTTTCTTTGTTCTCATCAATTAATAAAATTTCTGAAGTATTGTAAAAATTGATTACATAAAATTATTAAATTCTTCATACACAATTATTTTACCCATTAAATTTTCTTTTTCATCCTTTTAAGTTTCGCTTTCTAGTTGGTTGACTTTTTTTGACTCGAGTTTTAACACAGTTTTCCCTTCAAACACTATTGATATTCGCATAATTCTACAACTCGAACATAGCAGGAACAATATTTTCGGAATGCATACTCAATATAAGTGAAAAAATTAAGTAAAAGTTATTATGTATTTGGATAAAAACTTTATTATTTCTTTATTAATAAATGCTGTATTTTTCTTTTTCGCTCAATAGCGATAGAAATTAACTTACGTTACACGATTTCTGTGATCTCACGTGATGCGTGACTTATTGTTGGCGATGCTTACGTTATACGCGCGTATAACCTTTTTTCCCACCTTTTGAAAATATTCGCTCGTCTTTAAAACAATAATAATGACAGAATGTTATACACGTAAGTTCTTTTGCACTAACCAGCCAATCTATTTAGCTGTTTGTTCTTATGTAAAAACGCAATAATACTTGTTCGTTTAGTCCTTTTTACCAGAAAATAATTATAAATTCTCCACGGTTTAGAAGAAGCGTGGGAGAAAAAATTTTTAAGGGCTATATTTGCAAAGGTTCCGTATTTACTTATTTAGAAAAATAAGCAAAAGGGGATGGTCGGTTGCTCAGTAGTATCTGGTTGTCGTTCTGGACGCCACCATTACGACTTGCTTTTTTATGTTATTTATTTATCTTCTGTATAACACCATTGTGACTTATTTTTTTCTTTGCTTAAATAAACAAAAGGAGACTTCTGGTTGATGTTCGGTTGATCAGGTCGGCTGGCCCAAGTGATGATAGTTGCGCTCCTGGTCGATGGTCGGTTGATCAGTAGTATCTGGTTGTCGTGCTGGGCGACTTGCTTTTTTTTAGAAAATTTCTTGTATAAGCAATAGTCACACTAGTCCTAAGTGATGGTGATTGCGTTCCTGGTTGGCTATCGGCTGACTTTTGGACAT